ATATAATGGTTAACAATGGTACAGGCGGGGAAACTTATTTTTTAAGGGCTGATACAAAAGATTCAGTGCAGTTATGCTATGTAAGAAAAGTTTCCCCATATGGGCTATGGCGTGCCCAAAACCCCTTGATGCAAGCTCTCCCTGTCCTTGTTATGAGAATGATCATCACCATGTTCTTCACTCATCTTTTGGTGCTCGTGTGCAAACCCTTGCACCAACCACGCATTGTTCCTGAGATTCTTGTGAGTACTTCATATCCTTATTACTCTATTACAAATTATTTATAATATTTATAATTCGGCGTAAATATTGTCTGGTGTCGGATATCAATCTACAATACTTGGACGACCACCACCGTAGTTTATATTTGATGACCATGTGTTTAACTGGTAGAAAATTATATATACTAGTCCTCCTACGCCATATTGCCCATATGCTGAAAGGATTGTACCTCTAGATATATGTTTTACATGAATTGACATAACATGCTAATGGTCTTAGCCGTTCTACACGCGTGCCATTTTGGTCATTTTATGTGGTTGTCATAAATTTGAAGAAGAAAAAAAATTCATTTTTCAAGAAAAATATCAGCCAAATTGAAATAACAGGGTTACGGTGAGGTGTGTCGAAAAAAATGGTTACTTGGAGCCTTAATTAAGTTCTATATTGTTACTGTATTGTTACTGTGTGCTTGAAAAATTTATGTTTATCACAACAAAATAATTGTCATTAGAGCATTTTCAGTACTAATTTAAAATTTTCAGGGAGGCATGGCATTGGGTGTTGTGATCTTTTTGAAATCAAATATATTTCCTTTGAGTAGCTTGTTGATGTTAGAGACTGCGGGAAACTTTGCCCTTGTTTACCACATGTTCCTGGTGGGTTTAGAGCTTGATTTCAAACCAATACTACGTGCTGGGAAGAAGTCACTCAGCATTGCCCTTGCTGGCATTGTCTTTTGTGTCCTTGTTGGTTTCGGCTTATTTCGCTATTTGCTATACAAAGACTTTGACTACCAAACAAAAGCCAAGGGCACAAAGTACGGCCCATTCTTTTGGGGCATTGCCCTTGCCACCACCAACTTCTCGGACCTCGCCGGAATCCTGGCGGACCTGAAACTTCTCTACTCTGATGTTGGAGGACTCGCCTTATCTGCCTCCGTTATCTCCGACTTGTGCTCATGGTTTCTTCTTTTGACGGGAATGGCCATAGTCAATCATAATCAAATTTTAGCGGTGACGTCCACCTTGGCTTTTGTAGGACTATGCGTTTTCGTTGTACGTCCGGCTCTCTCGCGGATTATTAACCGAATCCGCGAGGGAGCCCTTGAGAGTAACAACATCGACTACCACGGGCTTACATGTTATGTCATGGCTGGGGTTGTGCTTTGTGGGTTAATTACCGATGCAGGTGGATCACACTCCATGGTAGGGCCTTTTGTATTTGGAGCTATTATGCCTAGGGGAGAATTCTCAAACACTCTTATAAAGAAGCTCAGAACTTTTGTGCCTGTGGTGTTGATGCCTATCTACTACTCCGTCAACGGGGTAAGAGTCAGCGTTGACGATATTCTCAATCTTAGAGATCCAGCATCGGAAGCAAAAACTGGGACTAACATATACCGTGTAGTCGCTGTTTTCATCATAGCTTTTGGGGCTAAGATTGTAAGCACTTTCGTTGCCGGCTTACTCAACAAAATGTCACCACGTGATAGTCTAGCTCTTGGATTTCTCATGAACACCAAAGGCTTATTGACAATGATTATACTCAACGCTGCTAGGGACCTAAAGGTACATACATACATACTACAATATATCGATATATATGGCTTCATGCGAGAAATTATATTATGGTACTCGAGTACGACCATGTGG